GAGCTCTGCACTGCCTGAGTCAAAAAAAAATCTGGATGAGTGAAAAAAATCAAGGGGATGTCGCTCCCAGCCCAGTTTTTGTCCCTTAGTGCAGCTTAATTGTCTTTGCTCTCTGTGTGGAGCAGCTCTGGTGTGTCCTGTGGGGAGAGCAGTGAGCAGACACCTCGAAAACTGGGGAGGAAAAGGGGAGAATTTGAGTTGTGAGCTGGAAAATGTGAGTTTTTGGAGGTTTTTTCCGGCTCACTCGTGGCTGGCATCCATCCCAAGGGGAGACATACCGAGAGGTTGGGGGGATCCTGGGTTGTGCTTCTCTTTCTTTTTGCCTTAAAACAGGTGACACTGAGCTGGGGGGATGTGGATCTGCTGGAGGGCTCTGCAGAGGGATCAGGACTGGCCGGAGCCACGGGATCAACAGGATTAGGCCCACGGTGTGAGGTTCAACCAGGCCAAGGGCCGGGTCCTGCCCCTGGGTCACAACAGCCCCATGGAACACTCCAGGGATGGGCAATTGCAGCTGGAAAGCTGCAAAAGGACCTGGGGGTGCCCAGGTGGAGATGGGGATGTGGCACTTGGGGCCATGGGTTAGTGGTGGCCTTGGCAGTGCTGGGGGAACAGCCGGACTCGGTGACCTCAGGGGCACCTTCCAAGCTAAATAATTCCACTGGGGATGCTGGATCCGTGGTGGGGCAGCTCACCTGCCCTCTCCTTCTTTGCAGTAGGGACAGGTACAGGCTTCCCTCCGTGGTTTCCGTCCCTGCTGGGGCTGTGGGTCGGGGCTGGTCTCTCCCTCCTCCACCGCCGCGCTCTCGTCCCCCAGCCCGTCCCCGCTGGCACCGTGCAGACCCAGCTGAGCTCCGTGGTCACCTGGAAGAGAAGGGGAGGTTCCATCAGAGTTATGGCACGTTCCTCACCTGGGAGAGAGGAGGTTTGGCATTAGGGCTGGCTGCTCTGCCCCCCTGAGTGCACAGGCATCCAGATTTCCTGGGAAAAAGGCAGTGCTGGGCAAGCCCTTTGCTGGCGAGGACCGAAGCAATCCCAGATCAAAGCACCAACCAGGGAGCAGAGCCTGACTCGGATCTGCCCACGTCACAGGGCACAGGGAGCAGCTGGGATGCCATCCAGGATGTGTCATCACGTGTCCATGCCCCAGCATCCCGTGTCAAAGCACACGTCAAATCCATATATCCCTGCAGACGGTCCCCTTCAGTCCCCTCTGGTCACTCAAGGCAGGGGGAAACACTCGGCTGAACCACAGTCTGTAATCTGGAGCTCTGGCTCCAGCCCTCACCCCACGGCCCCAGGATGCACAGGAATATTGTCCCAGGCCAGGCCTGGCTGCCTGATGCCACCCCAGGAAGGAGGAAACTGTCCCTCTGATGGTGACACAGATTGAAGCCTCACCCGGAGATCTTTGGCTGAGCCCTCCTGTACCTCAGCAGCCACATTCAGGTTTAGCAATTTTAGGACAAAACCTTTCCAGTGCCCCCCCTCTCCAGCTCCTGGGATGTGTTTACAGTCAAACCCCAGCATGGAGGGAACCAGGGAGGGGGTTTTAAGCTTTCTAAGCCAACGCCGACAGCTTGTTACAGTCACGGATTAGAGATTTCCCCCCCGGCCGGGAAGAGCTGCTGGAAAAAGGAAGGAGAAAACACACGTTCTCTCCCAAAAATACACCGGGGAGGGCGAGAATCCAGCCCTGACGCCTTGGAATGGCTTCAATCCTCAAACATGCAAAAGCCCACACGGCGTTTTCCAGCCTGTTGGCACGTCAGGAGGAGGGGAACAAACCCAAATCCTCCCGCTGGTAATCTCTGGCTGCATCTCATCAAGGTATAAAGACATGATGGGGAGGGAAGGCAGATCCCAGACGTGCAGGGATCATCCCTCACTGACCAGGAGAGCCCACGTCTCCAGGATATGGCAGGTTCAGGGGAAAGCTGGATAATTCATGTTTATTATCCCCACTAATACACATCACTGCTAAGACTAAAGCTTCCCTGGAGGCTCCCAGGCCCCTGCTCCATGCTCAGGTCAGCAAAGCCCTGCAAAAATATATTCATGGAGCAAGGAGGGGGGGGTTAATCCTTGGAAAAGCCTGGGGAGGAAAGAGGGACTTTGGGAAGACAGGAGATAGGAACTGATCCTGGCTCCTGAACCCAGCCCTGGGATGGGGAGCTCTGAGACCCCCCAGAAATGGGGCAGTTTGCTGATCTCCCACTAAAAACCCCAAAGCCCAGAGCCTTGGCTTGGGAATTCTCTCCAGACAAGGCCTTCCTTGTCTCCTACCTGCTGCTAGGAGGAAAAAAGCTTCGGTTTGGTCGCTTTATTTAGCAAACTAACAGGAGGTGAGAAATGCCCGGTGGAGAGGAGAGAGAGGAGCTTTCACATCCACCCCAGCCGACCTCGGGAAAGGGGAAACAGACCCCACGTTCATTTTTAGGGGAAGAGCTGGAAATAAAACCCAAAACCAACAAACCAGGGCTCCTTGTGCAAACTCTGCACCGCTGGCAGCCGTGCCAGGGCAGAGGCAGGAGAGGACAAGGGGGGGGAGTCGTCACCATGCACGACGTGGCTTCCAGGCACAAGGAAGTTTTAAGGCAAAAAGAAAGGGAAGAAAACTCAGGGAACCCTCAACCTCTTGGCATGTCTCCCCTTGGGATGGATGCCAGCCACGAGTGAGCCGGAAAAAAACACCAAAAACTCACGTTTTCTATCTCAGAACTCAAATTCTCCCCTTTTCCTCCTCAGTTTTCGGGGTGTCTGCTCACTGCTCTCCCCACAGGACACGCCAGAGCTGCTCCACACAGAGAGCAAAGACAACCAAGCTGCACCAAGGGACAAAAACTGGGCTGGGAGTGACATCCCCTTGATTTTTTGACTCGTCTGATTTCCTCAGTGATTTGCAAAATGAGTTAATCTGCACTAGGAGCTCGTTCATGTAAACCCAGAGAGTCCTCGGAGCTCAGGGAACACGAGGCCTGGCTGCACGAGGATGGGGCAGGTTGGGAGCCTGCAGCCCTTCGAGTAATTGTGCTTTAATTTGGGGGTTCATGACTTGAGAAGTCACCGGCCAGTTGGACAACTCCTGTAATTGCCAGAGGTTTCTGTGCGTCACGAAAAATGACACTTCCTTCGGAGAGGGAATAAATAGGGCTGGAGCTGATGGGTCAAGAGTGAGGTAGGGAATCACCTCGTCCATTTTGTGACATCCCTGAACCCTCCAGGACTTGCCACACACCTTTGTCGTGCTGCAGACTGACAGACAGAGCTCCTTTGCTCTCTTAATTCCTGTCTGGATTGTCACAAAACCGGGATGAAGCCTCTGGTCTTGCCATAGCCTTCACAGGCAGGTCCCACCAAACCACCCCAAAACCACCAGGGGAGGTAAAGAGAGAAGTCCCTGAGTGAGGAGTATGAAAGGAAGGAGGACAAGGGCGATTCCCATGGGAGAAGAAGCCCAGCAGACTCTCCCACCACACCTGAACCTCCGGATGCCTCTCGCCCACTGCAGCCAAGGGCAGATGCTTGTCTGAGCCACAGACCCTGAGTTTTTAATCACATCCCTCCACAGAGGAGGACTCTGTGCCTGTATCACTCACAGCATCTAACCCAGGCATCCTGGGATGAGACAGGGAGCTGGCTGGAGGTGGGAGCCGACTCTCTGGAAAGGAGCCACATGGAAACTCCCCCAGCCCCAGGAGCCAGGATGCGGCTCCTGCACAGGGTGATAAGGATGGGGCTCCAGCAGGGCTGGGGAGGGCACAGATAAAAGAAAGGGGCAGATCAGGGCCCGGCAGACGGGTCGGAGCCGGGAGAGGGACCTCTCCCGGGAGGAGTCACGGGGTGGGTGCGCGGCACCCGACCCGTCCGACCGGCGCGGCTGCCAACCCGCTCCCAGCCCTGAGCCGAGCCCTGGCCTGGAGCAGGAGGAGGAGAAAGACAAGGGAAAGCAGGAGGAAGAGGATCAGGGTTGCCTCGTGAAGCCCCAGAACCACAGGGATTTTTTGTGGGGCACAACCTCCCCGGGACAAAGCTGCACTGCGTTAACACAGCCTCTGTCGGGATCACCCCCTTTTCCCAAGCAAACCCTGGGATCTCTTGGGATTTGTGTCCGTCCTCCTGTAAACGACAGGGAGAGAGGTCAGTCAAGGAATCCAGAGGGGATGTAAAGTCCAGCCCAGCTGGACTTTAGAGGAGGAAGTTTCACAATATGACTATTTTCTGACGTGATGTCATGGGCGCAGTGAAACAAAGCGACGGCGCGTCACGGAGAGATCCTGTCAGGGCTTGATTCCCATTTTCCCCTCCCCTCCACACTCGATGCCATGCAGTTGTCTCATCAAGGCCCTGCTACAAAGCTGCCCTTAAAAACAGAAAACAGGAAACAATCAGCTCTTTGTGCCAGTGGCCTGACTCTGGGAAGAGCCCTGGAAGGACAAAGTGGCAGCAGAGAGCCAGGATGTGTTTGGTGAACACATTCCCAAGGGTTACTTCCCCTGTGGAGGTTTTTTTCCTTTCAGGACAGCCCTGATGTCCAACTGCTCGATTCTCCCACAGCCTCCATCCTGAGCCTTGGAAAGGAGCTCATCCTGCCCACACATCCCTGGGCAGGGGCACCCCCCAGTCCCACCAGTGCTCTGGGCACCCACCAGCTCCATTCACCCCTGGGAACAAACATCCTTTAGTGCTCCCCAAAACAAGGGGGTTTAACTCCAGAGCTGAGCTCAGGGGAAATCACCAGCCAGGTTTACCCAGCACACACCTCAGCCAGGTAGGGCTCTGCCAGGGGCAGGGATATGGGGGCAGAGCCAGCAGCACTACACAGACAGGGAGCTAAGAACAGTCTCCTCCTCCCTATGGTAAAAAGGGAAGAGAAACCCCGGTGTCACAAACTCCCTGCCACCCTCCCCACCCATGCAGGACGTCCCCTCCCTGAGCGGGCTCGTGGTGACATTGGGGTGACTTTGGGGTGACATTGCTCTCCTGGCTCACAGCCCCACTAAGGGGTCCTGGTGTTGCAGCCCCCACCAGTGCCCAGCACACCCCCAGAGCCCCCATCCCTCAGCCAGGCCGGGCCTGGTGCCCGCCCCGTGTGGGGAGTGCTGGCACCAACCCCGGGGCGGGTTTTGGGGCACTGCCAGCCCAGGAAATCCCCTCCCCGGCTCTGCGGGCGCCTTCCCCTCGGAGCAGAGCCGGCTGCAGGGCCTGTTCGCCCACATACCAGCCCCTGACAGTCACAGACCTTCCTGTGCCTCCTTCCAGCCCGGCTGAGGAGGAGGAGGAGGAGGAATCAGCCTTCAAGCCACCTCATTAGCACAGACGCCGAGTTCCATCGGCTCTGCCTCACGCCCAGGGAGCAAAAAACCTGAGTTTTAAAGCCCTTTTCGGGTGTCATTTTCTCCTGGGGGGGCTCTTTCCTTTGCCAAAAGGAAAGTTAAAAGCAGAAATGTCACCAGCAACTGCCCTTGAACTCCTGCAGGGCTGGGAGACACAGCCCCCCATCCATGGAGTGGGGTCAGGAGAGGGGTCACAGAGAGGCTGCAGACCCCAAGGAGGATGAGCTGAGCTCTGGCATGGATTGCAGGAAGGGGCAGGAGATGTGGCACTGCCAACCCAGAGGGACAGCTGGGACCACCACAGCCCTTGCCATGCACCCGTTTCCCACCCACCACCCCAGAACACGCTGCAGGATCCAAGACCAGCTACAATCTCCCCTGCCCAGCAAGCCCGGGGCTTGTTTTCCATTCTCCTCCCCTGGAAACAGAGGAGCATTTTCTGCTACAAAAATCCCTCCCAACTCTTCGCCTTGAGCAGAAAGTTCCAGCACATGTGGGGCGAACTCACAACCTCCGGGGATGCTCCACACGGAAACCGCTCAGGGATTTGGATGACAGGCAGTGTTGGGAACAAACTGCTCTCCCAAATTCCCACTGGGAGGGACACACACTCACAGCCCCTGGTGGGATGGACCCAGGTCCAGGGGGGGTTCAGCACCACCCTGGAGAGGGGCTGGGGGACAAAGGGACCCATCGCCACGTCTGACTGGAGAAAAACTCCTCCAGCCTGGAGTCAAACCACGTAAATCCTGTCACTGGATCGGCACCAGGAAGCTTGTCCTGGCCACAGCTTCCACCATCTCATCCCAGGAGCCTCCCGGACCATCTCACTGAGCTGGGTGCCCCCAAAAAAACGCTTGGCAACCCTGCTCTGGCTTTTCAAATGTCACCACGTCACGGCAGAGCGTGAGCCGTGAGCGTCACTTCGCGTCCTCAGGGCTGGGGCAGAGCCAGGCTGGGAATTCGTCACTGCGGATCAAGGGCTGAACACGCTGCTGTTCAGCAGCAGGAGGGGGAGGAGGAGGAGGGGGAGGAGAAGGAGGAGGAGGAGGAGGAGGAGGAGGAGGTGGCGGCTCCCCAGCGTGAGCGCGTTGGATGGGTGGTCTCTAGAACGTTCCTCCCTGTCCCACCTCCGGGGGGCAGAGCCAGGCACGAATACAGGAACTGGGACTCGCCCATGCGTTTCTCCACCGCCTTCAAAACAAGGAACAAGCTCGGCCTCGGCGTGAGCAGCCCCAGGCACGGGGGAAACCACGCACAGACCCCCAACTCTCCCCTGCACCCCCACGGATCAAAGAGGCCACGGGCGTCACCCCCCTCCCGGTGCAAAACGACTCGTTCTCCAGCCCCTCGTGGGTCTCTCTGCTCAGGGAAATCCAAGGATCAGGCTAATCCCGGGCTGTAGTAACCCGTGGATGCCTGCGAGCCAAGCTGCTGTAGCAACAGCCCAAAATAATGCTGCAAAACAACCCCTGGAGAGCAGCAGCCGCCGCCTCTCGCGAGAGGGGAGCACGAGTTGGATTGAGCAACATTTTCTGCTGCCTCTCAGCTGTGACTAAATCCAGCAACAGCCCTCTTAGCCAGAGCCAGAACAAAAAAAAAAAAAACAACAAAAAACCCAAGGAAAACAGTGGAAAAGCAAGCAGAGAGCCTTCCCAGAACCGATTCTTTCCGCGGAGGGAGCTCACGGCCCCTCCAAGGGAAGCCAAGCAGCCTCCAGCTCACTCCCCACACCCACGTGTCCCCCCTTCCCGGGCAGTGGGAGGCGATGGAACAGATCCAGGGGGATCTGAGCAGGGAGCCCTGTGCCCACGGGACCATGAGGAGGTCATGGTGTCCTGCAGCAGCACCCGGACACTTAACTTTGTGCCCTTTCTTCCTCCCCTGCGTGGAAATTCTCCGCGGCTTCGTGACTGTGTTTGTTTTGACGGGGTTTTCAGTTAATCCCGAGTTTTCTACGGCCCTGACTCTTTCCTCAGGCTCAGCCGAGGAGCTGAGCTGGACTTGGGTTCTCCCCTCAGCCCTGACCCGAGACCCCCTGGGTGGCCATCAGGGCAGGACAGTGCCCTCACACAAACCCACACATCCCCTTTGTCCCCTCACCTTCCCCCTCACAGCCACCTCCTCCCTCTTCACTCAACCCAAGAGTTAATTAGCTCAGAAACTCCCCCCCAAAAAAAAGACTTTTAGTGTCTCGTGGTGATCCACAGAGCTTTCATACTTCCTCCCGAGGGAGGAAGCCAGCCCAGATGCCAACTCCATTTGGCACCGACCACCCCCGGCCCAGCCCTGGCACGGCCCAGACGTGGCTGAACCCGGCCGGGTGACGCCTCTTCCCCCTCAACCTTCCTCTGCCTGGCTACAAACAGGAACCAAAGCACTCACCAGGGGCGTTGGCGATGGCCAGGGGCAGCCCCTGCAGCTGGTGCACCTGGATCCCGGATGCTCCCAAGGCACTGAGGTTAATAGTCTGGAGGCCCGGCACGGAGGAGAGCTGGGCAGCGTTGACGGTGACGGTGCCGCTGGGGAGGGAGGCGATGGGGGTCAGCGTGGTGCTGGTGCTGCCCGTCTGCCCCAGCGACACTCCCTGCATGGGGGCCAAGGTGATTGTCTGGGCCTGGGGGTTCTGCACCTGCAGGTTCTGGAGCTGGATGGTCTGCCAGCTCACCTGCCCGTTGGGACCCACCGTGGGCGTGCGGATGATGATGGGGCCGGAGTTGGGGACAGCTTGGAGCTGCAGGTTCTGCAGGGCGTCCTGGGAGATGGCTTGAGTGGCAAAGGTCTGGCCGGAGAGCGGGGTGGTCTGGAGGGCCTGGATTGTCTGCCCTCCTTGGACCAGCTGGGGCTGGATCAGGATCTGCTGCTGCTGCTGCTGCGACTGCTGGCTCTGATCCCCCTCCTTCTGCTGCCCCGGCTGCAGAGCCACCCCGGACACGGGGCTCTGCAGGGAGTCCGAGCTCGGGACACTGCTGGCCCTCTGGGGCGTCTGTGCCTGCGAATTGGTTCCCACCGTGGCGCTGGTGGAGAAATTCATGACCCCCACGTTACTGGTGGTGGTGGTGGTGGAGTAGCTGTTGGCGTTGGTGAAGAAGGCGCCCGAGCTGGCCTGGGACGAGGCCGTGCTGGCAGAGCTGCTGGTGGCACCCGAGGTGGCCGGCTGGGAGCTGCTGTCCGGGGAGCCCGAGCTGCTCAGGGTGCCCGTCTGGGATGTGGGCGCCAGGCTGGCGGCCACGCTGTTGACCGGCAGCAAGGTGATGTTGCCGTTCAGGGCCACGGGCACGTTGGCCACGTACTGGGTCTGCCCGGAGAGGCTGTTGTTGGCCAGGCCCACGCCCTGGATGGGCACTGCCTGCTGCAGCAGGTTGGGCATGGCGATGAGGTTGCTGCTCCCCGCACGGCTCGTGATGATCTGCTGGTTGGAGCCGGGGATGATCTGGAGCTGCCCGGAGGCATCCTGCTGCACGTTCACCTGGGCAGGGGTGGTGGCAAACTGCAGCTGCTGCCCGTCTATGGTCTGGAACTGGGGGATCACCTGGTACTGGATGTTGGGGATGACTCCCGGCAGGCCCGTGAGCACCTGCTGGTTCTGCAGGCCCGAGGCGGAGGTGACCACGTACGGCCCCGCGCTCACCGGGCGGCTCTTGGAGGCGTCACCGCTGCCATTGTTGCCGTTGCTGCCCGGCTCCTTGGAGCCCGTGGGGGTGCTGGAGCCCGCCGAGATGATCTGCCAGCCGTTGGCCGACTGGGCGATCTGGGCGGCGGCCGCGTTCAGGTCGAGCTCCCCGCTCCCGCCTTGCTGGCCCTGGGAGCTGTTGGAGTTCTCGTTGGGAGATTCGATGCGGCTGCAGGTGGCTGCCAGCAGGGCCAGCGGGGAGGGCTGCGACTCCTGGGAAGGAGAGGAGGAGTTACACGGAGAGGAGGAGGGAGGCGGCCCCAGGGGCAGGCCCGAAGTGGAAAAAAAAAAAAAAAAAAAAAAAAAAGAAAAAAAAAAGGGGAAACAAAAAAAACTTAAAAGAGAAAGCAGGGAGGAGCGTACTCGGAAAAGATAAACACTCCTTCCTGAGCGAACCCACCCATAGCCGGAAAAATACAACTGCCAGGCAGAGCGCTGTCAGGCCGGGACGGCCTGAACCCACGGGGAAAAGCCCTCTGGGAGGGAGGAAAGGGGAGGGAAAGGCGAGAGAACACGGCTCCTCCACCCCGGAGCCGGGAAATCTCCCTGCAGCAGAACAAACCCCCCGGGAAGGCCGGTCCTTGCCGGGCTCCCCCGATCTGGAGAAGGGCCAGTGGGGGCTGTGGTGTTGTTGGGAGCAGGGGAACTGCGTGTCGGTGAGGAGGGGAAGCCCCGGGCGGTGCAGGCTTGGCAGCGCTCGCCCTCCCCTCCTCCTCTTCCTCTCCCCGGCGCAACGCTCGGCCGGGCCCAGCAAACACCTCGGCCCGGCCCCTGGACTTTGCCACGAGTTCCCCGGGGTTGAGCAGAGCCGGGCAGGGGCCGGTCGTCCTCCCCCACACCCCCCTGCACTGACCTGGGCCTCCCCGCCGCCGGCGCTGCTGGTGCTGCTGGCGTCGCCTTCGCCCTTGTCGGGCTTCACCGCCGACATCTCCTCGGGGCTCTCCTGGTCTGCGCGGGAGGGGAACGACAGCCCGCGTTACAGACATTTTGGGGCAGGGGAAGGGGCACGAGGAGCAGGAGAGCCGGGCAGGGCTCTGGGTTTGGGGGACACACACACACACACCATGTGCTCCGGAGCGCCGGTGGGAAGGGGTTTGGGAAGCGGAGGGAGCTGCCAAAGGGGAGCTGGCAGCGGGACAGGGGGGGGAGGACCCGGCCCCGCTCCAGGGCCCAGCTCCTCCCCAGCTGCCCGGGACACTCCCTGGCTTCCATCGAGGTCCTCCCCGGGCCTCCCCCTTCCCTTCCCTTCCCTCCTGCCCCAGCCCCGCGGATCCACCCCGGGATTCCCCGCACCGTGGATCCAGCCCACGGGATGCCCCGGCTGGAACTCCCCCC